ATGCGTCTGGGGGAGGAGGTGCTCCCAGGAGCCCCGGTTCTTTGTCTCAGCACAGAAAGAAGTCAGCTAGAGGCAAAGTGGTAGGTAAGAAGTGAGTTATGAGAACAGGACGCTTGTGAGGTTCACACGCGGGCAGGCAAGGGAGTGCCGCCTTGAGAACTTCGTGGGCTACAGTTTTATAATTGAAGGAAAAGTGGGGAGGAGAAGACAACCTTCGTCCTCATTTTTTTTGTCGTACGCGGGCCTCTCACTGTTGCTGCCTCTCCTGCCGCGGAGCACAGGCTCCAGACGCGCAGGCTCAGCGGCCATGGCTCACGGGCCCAGCCGATCTGCGGCATGTGGGATCTTCCCGGACCGGGGCACGAACCCGTATCCCCTGCATCGGCAGGCGGACTCTCAACCGCTGCGCCACCAGGGAAGCCCTTCTTCCTCGTTTTTGAGTAGATGTCATGCTTCCATGATCAGTTCCTCCTCCACGTTGGTGGGGGGGGGGAGTTTTCTGGGCCCCTATATGGTCAAACTGGGACTGTCGTGGCACAATGGAAATGAGCAAAAAGGCAGTAACACATACTAAAATACGGTAAATCATACGGTTTCAGTATAATGTCACCTTTTCCTTATATTTTTGTTTTTAGTCTGCGCAGAGAAGCGTGTCCTAGGAATCATTAACTTACTGACCTCCCTGGGCAGGATGTGGGTCTCCTGCCACCATTGCTTTATTGTTTTGGGGGCAAGTCTCATACTTCTGTTGCATGGTTTTGTTGCTAAGAAAGCTGCTTGGTTTTGTGGTTTAGCAAACCTGCTTTCTTGAGTGATCATTAACTTACAGGGATCTCCCATACTTTTTCCTTTACTTATGATCCTTTAGTGGGATGAACTATTTAATCACCTACTTTGTCCCTTTATTCTGTCCCTATTGGAAGGAGCACAAGAATGGAGGGAACGCTGGCACCAAGCCTCACCGAGGTGAGTCCACAGCAACCTTTAGACAAAGCACAGCTTGGAGTCAGACACAAAGGAGTTAACGTTTTCTTTTCTTTTTTTAATGATCATAATAGAACATGACGACAACAGCAACAGTGCCACGAGTCAAAGGGACATGATTCCACACGGCCACATTTTTACATCCATTAAGGTTAGAGATTTTGAATCAAAAGAGCATGTTGAAACCCTACGTTAAGAAGTAGCCTCATGCAGCTCGATAACAAAATATCAAACAACCCAAACCAAAAATGGGCAGAAGCCCTAAATGGACATTTCTCCAGAGAAGATATACAGACTGCCAACAAACACACGAAAGGATGCTCAACATCACTAATCATTAGAGAAATGCAAATCAAAACCACAATGAGGTATCATCTCACACCAGTCAGAATGGCCATCATCAAGAAATCTACAAACAATAAATGCTGGAGAGGGTGTGGAGAAAAGGGAACACTCTTGCACTGTTGGTGGGGATGTAAATTGATACGGCCACTATGGAGAACAGTATGGAGGTTACTTAAAAAATTACAAATAGAACTACCATATGACCCCACAATCCCACTCCTGGGCATATATACCCTGAGCAAACCATAATTCAAAAAGAGTCATGTGCCAATATGTTCACTGCAGCTCTATTTACAATAGCCAGGACATGGAAGCAACCTAAGTGTCCATCAACAGATGAATGGATAAAGAAGATGCGGCACATATATACAATGGAATATTACTCAGCCATAAAAAGAAACGAAATTGAGTTATTTGTAGTGAGGTGGATGGACCTAGAGTGTGTCATACAGAGTGAAGTAAGTCAGAAAGAGAAAGACAAATACCGTATGCTAACACATATATATGGAATCTAAGAAAAAAAAATGTCATGAAGAACCTAGGGGTAAGACGGGAATAAAGACACAGACCTACTAGAGAATGGACTTGAGGATATGGGGAGGGGGAAGGGTAAGCTGTGACAAAGCGAGAGAGAGGCGTGGACATATATACACTACCAAACGTAAGGTAGGTAGCTAGTGGGAAGCAGCCGCATAGCACAGGGAGATCAGCTCGGTGCTTTGTAACCGCCTGGAGGGGTGGGATAGGGAGGGTGGGAGGGAGGGAGACGTAAGAGGGAAGAGATATGGGGACATATGTATATGTATAACTGATTCACTTTGTTATAAAGCAGAATCTAACACACCATTGTAAAGCAATTATACTCCAATAAAGATGTTAAAAAAAAAAGAAATAGCCTTTTCACTGTAGTAAAAGTTAGTGACCTCATCGCGAAAACTGGGGTCTTCAGTAGCAAAGGACTACATGAATAGTTAAAATACCTTTTTATTAAGAAAACTGCTTACACTTACAAGTTGAATATGCAAACGTTAGTAAGACACAGAAACATTTCCAATTCTCTGGGCATGAAGAATTGGCATCTGGACTGCAGCTAGTTACAAGAATAAGGTTTAAAACTTTAAATAGTAGAAAGTTTAAATAGTAGAAAGAGTGCTAGTATGCTTTCAACTGGGAGAAATAGGGCGGGAAAAGGTCAGAACAGGAGATGTAGATTTGCCCAAAGGCTGTGAACCAGCTCCCCTACCTCCACCCTATCTAAGATTTTCCCCAAGAAGCACCTCTCAGATATATTGTTGAGGAGCCAGGTCCCTCAAGGTCCCAGAGATCCACAGTTACTGGGTGGGAGGACGTGGGACAAGTTCATCCCCACTGTCACATCCACTTTGTACAGTTCTCCATCCAGGGCGACTCCCCATGAAAGCCCAAGACGATGGAAAGGGAGAGGACTTGGATTTCCAAACAACTTGCTAGATTCCAGATCACTGCCCTTGGCTGGAATTATTTGAACTTGAGGCAGCAACCGTGTTCACTTCTGTAGCTCAGGAGACTTTTGATTTATTAAGTGACTCACAAACGGGGAAAGGTGGAGATTTGGAAGATACCCATAGTTTTGGAGTCAGAGACGGCACAGCCTAAACCTGGGTTTCCCAACCTCGGCATTTGGGGGATGGATGGCATTTGGGGGATGGGTGGCATTTGGGGGATGGGTGGCATTTGGGGGATGGGTGGCATTTGGGGGATGGATGATTCTTTGTCCTGGGGGCTCTTCAGCAGCATCCCTGGCTTCTATCTACTAGATGCCAGCAGAACACATCCCTCCAGTTCATGAAAACCAAAACTGTCTTCAGACATTGCCAAAGGTGCCCTGGGGGACAAAGTCGCCCCCAGTTGAGAACCACAGTCCTAGTGGTTCAGAAACGTCATTGATAGATGCCCTGGGCTCACTGCTCACCCAAACAGGACCTGGCAACTCTCCCGAAACTCTTGGAGACTCAGTTTCCTGGAGGAAAGTGTAAAAGTTTGGAAGCTCCCTTCCTGCCAGCTTACAGAGCCTAGGTCACAACCGTCTGGATTGCTGGGACAATGCTTAGAACTCTAAATGCAGTGATTCTCTGGTTCATTGAGACACTGGGGGAGAGACAGCTGCTGAGACTGATGCTGGGGCCACTGGTGCTGCTCAACCACGTGGAGAGGGCTCGGTGGGGAGGGAAGGCTCTGGTTCCCCCAGTAGCTGTGGCACACAAATTCCTGCAAAGGTGACTCGTACATCTGTCAGGATTTATTCCCAAGGCAGCACGGGTCTCAAACCTCCTCCTGGGAATGCAGGAAGTCAGCTTGCAAAAGCAGCCGGGAGCAGACGACGGACCTCATCAAACAGCTGGTTGGACAGGTCTGGGCAGGTACAAGTGTGCACGATGGTCAAAAGGCAGGTGCCCCCCACATCCCGGGAACTGTGCAGCCCAACCAACCCCTCCAAGGGCTTGCTCTGCTTTTATTCTCTATCTTGACAAAAAAAAAAAGTATGACTTTTTACCAAGACTCAGAACAAGCCATGCAGACTTTTCCAAAATTTACATAGTCCTTCTCAGGTACTTTTGACAATTCCATGGCACTCCTGATAGTTGCTGTTTTCTCACTCTGGAGGGAACTTGCCCACCTTTAATCACCATGGTTTGCACTGTTTTGTCCCCTGTCTACCCCCAGCCTCCCATCCAAAAAAAAAAAGAAGGAAAGAAAATGCTCAACGTCTGATCTCAGAAGTGACTCGCTGGGGACACCTGGCCACCACTGAATTCTGATTACCTGGGTTTCCTGGAGTGGCTTCTCTTTCCACTTGGAGATTACAGACTCCACCCCTGTGGGCTCTCAGTGCCCAGCCACCCGGCCTCCCCTCCAGCCCTATCACGACGCTCTCAACACATGATTGAGGTCAGGGCCCTGTGGAGCAGGTGAGGCAGGAGAGGTGGGCCCGGCAAACACGGGACATTCAGGTTCCAGCTGCTCCCTTGGGCCAGAAGCACAGCTCCTTGGGCGTCTCCAGCACGGCAGCCCAGCCCACCCAGGACTTGCTCTGAAGGGGGCCAGATGACAACTGCCAGAGAACATGATGCCTGTCCCAAGGCTGGGACTGGCATCCGGGGCCCTGCTGTGTTCCCCAGTGAATGCACAGCGCCCTGGGCCAGGCATCCATCCGGGGATCTGTCAGCTCTCCACTAATCTATGATGTGACCCCGGCTGACCTCCCGAAAGTTACGGTCCTGATTAGATGCTCTCTAAAGCCTCTTGTTGCTGTGAGGTTCTACAACTGATAAATACCCGGGCAGTGCTGCCCGCCCCTTTCTAGGACGTCCACTCAAAATCCCTCTCCAGGACCAGAACAGCCGAGCCTCAGAGGCTCATCCTGGGCTGGTCCATCCCAGAGGGCTCATCGTGGAGGGTGCAGATGAAGGGAGACCGAGACGCAAGGTGACCGCCCAGCCTGCAGAGCCAGCAGACCTGGGTCTGAATCACAGCTCCTCAGCGATGGATTCTCACACACACAGCCTGGCCTCGGCTTTCTCAACAGAAAAATGGGACAGTAATTACTGTGCACCTCTCTGTACCCTCACTCCTGTCCCCGAGGGGTGATTTGAGAAGTAAATGAGATACATCAGCACACAGCACAAGGAAGGTGTGTAACGACAGCACTAATCATTGTTAACAATATCACTACTAATAATGAGGGAAGGTCAAGTTCCTGCAGAAGGAGAGGACCATTTGTCTGGAAGGAATCGGGCAGCAGTGTCGATGGCAGCCAAGTGTCTCCAGTCTCCAGGGAGGGATTCCGACAGATGCTAGTGGGTTGGCGGGCAGCGAGTCCTTCCGTTCAGAACAAGCTGGAAACTGGCCTGTTGTCTCTCGAGGCCCGTGGTACTAGCCTGTCCTCCCTGCTTTTCTCCCTCAGATTCCGGGGGACCCCTGAAAGGAAGTATGAGCATCTTTCTCCGGGGGGTAGACGGGGTCAAGGGAGTCTCATTTGCCTCTTAATCCCATGGAAAGGGCAGGAAAGACAGAGCAGGGGCCGGCAGAGCGGTTGACTCTCCCAAGGCCTATAGGAGGCGGAATCCCCTTAGGACATGCCCGGCTAAAGCGTCCCCTGGCCTGGCCTCTCCTCCAAAGCTCCAAGGACTGCAACTCATGACCTCATAAAGCAAGTGCTGGTCTGTGCGGTGAAGCGCAAACACACACAGGTGTGCGACACCCACGGCTGGCAGAGGGGAAATGCAGAAGCACGCAGAGGCGCATATTCCAGCAGTGGTAGGACCCCTTCTCTGAGGAACAGCTACTGAAGAGGCAACCCCTCCTTCCTCAGCACGGACCCATCAAGCCAGGGTGGGCTCAGGGGCCAGCCTCACATGGGAGAAGCCAGAACGGGAGCCCCAGGCTGGGGTCCGAGAGAGGAGCGGCCATCCCCAGCTGCTCGGGAGAGCCCTGGGGCTCCGCGGAAGACCTGAGTCTGGGCTGGGGCCCAGCCTGCAGCACAGACCATCCCATGACTCTCCTTCTCAATTCTGCCTGTGTGAGCCTCACTCCTCGTGTGGGTCCCTCTGTGGGGCTCCGGGTCTGGGTCAGGGCCTTCTTCATGGGTCCCGAGAAAGCTGGTCTCTGGGAACTTCTCTGGCCATGCAGAGAGACTTGAGTTCAACTTAAAGGGGGGGGTGCAGGCAACAGGGACCACGCCCCCCAGAGCCTGGGCAGAGAAGGGGGGATGAACGTGCCCCATTCCAAGGATGGTCAGAGACTTCAACCTGCAGAGGCCACGTCATGACGTGGGAGCTCGGGAAACGGCCTCTGGAGACCCAGGGCCTGGTTTAAATGTGCCCTGGAGGCGCCGCCCAGCCACGGAAGGCAGCGCTGCGTTGTTCCAGAAAGAGTCCGGCTTTAAGCCTCACTTTCCTGCCGTGTGGCCGCGGGCAAGTGATTCCGCTCCTCGGGGCTTCTGGTCCTTTAACTGTGTGTTGGAGCAATGATGCTCTAAGGGAAGCGTAGGGATTAAATCTGTGCCTGTGAATCTGGCACAAGGCTTGGACACAAGACTCAAGCAATGATGGCAGATCTCTTGGCCTTTACTTAACATCAAAGACAGAACCCCAACTGCAGCATGAGGGAAGGGGCAGTGCACTCTGGCTAGAAATCTAACATGTGCATCGATCCCTGCTGCTATCTGAGTGAAGGTGGAAAAAAAATTCACAGGAGATGGAAATGGGGTGACCCTGGGCAAGTCACTGTGATCCGTACGATGCATGGTTTAGACAAGAAGCTCTTTAAAGCTCTTGACCATCTATGGCCCTGACACTGAAAAGAAAGACCTGGAAGTTGAATTTAACTGCCAGCATGTCAGTTTTCATGTCAGGGAAAACAAAACCTTCAGAGGGGAGACCTCTGTGCCCAGAAATGCCCAGCGAACACAGGGCCCACCAGGGCTGCCCTGGGAGGCTGGTGGTCTCCTTAGAGCTAAAAGCCAACATTTCCTCTCTTCCCCACTCCTCCCCCTGTTATCAAACATAGAACCTTCTCTCCCATAGCCATCCCCACAGGCCATCTGAGAACGGGGAGCTGCCACCTGCCTCTTAAAGGCTGCAGGCTCCCTGGGGATGTGGGGTCAGAAGACAAAGAATCGGGGTATTGGGGCTGGACGGCCCCCATGAAGACACCTTGTCTCCCCACCCTGGCTCTGGAGTCCCCCCCTTGGGTTCCCTCATAAAGCCGCGTGTCTAAGAAAGACCTTGCTCACGGGGCAGATGCCAGGCCTTGATGGACAGGAGTTTGCTGGAGAAGCAGCTGGAATGATGTGCTCACAACGGCCGCCATCCAGCCCCGCCTCCAGGCTGGTCCTGCCTCCAGACAGCAGGGCGCGCTCAGCGATTCCAGAAGGAGTCCAGGCCAAAGGTACCACAGCCCTTCTCCCGCTCCACAAAGGTCACGCCAGCTCTCTGTGCTCACGACCTCCACTTGAACTGAAGCACTTGTGGATGGACACCAGGCGGCAGTGACAGATGCGGCCAATAAGGGCTGGTGGCCGGCGCTGTCTGCAGCGTGGGCCGGTAATCCTGTTATCATGGCAGCTCGGTGCCAATCTCCCACAGACGAGTGGCTTCCTCTGGACAATTAAGATGTCCCTTTGCCTATCAAAAACACTCATTTCTCCTGAGACCACAGTGACAAATTCAGCCTTTTTGCAATTGCCTCCGAGTATGCATGAGGGCTTCTGTACCGGTCTTCTAAGTCTCTCAACCACAGAGGAGGAGTTTCTGCCTCTGTTTCCTTCTGTACAGAGCAGGGAGGAAGAAGAAAGCCACTGCTGGCTTGTAGGCAAGCAAGCCCGTGTCTCAGCTCGTCCCACTCGGGGGCACAGGGAGAGCTGTTTCAGGAAGGGGGGCACTGCGCCATGAAGAAAAGTGAGCCCTTTCCTATACTGATCCCCCCAGCACGTGGGTGCACCCAAAGGCCAGCAGCGCTCTGGCCCTGATGAGGGGCTCCCAGGTGTGCCAGCCCCCCAGCCGCTGCCATTTAAGCTTGTAAGGGAACTGACTCAGGCAGAGCATATTTACACCTGCAAGGGTGCATGGGAGCCAAACCAAGGGTACAGTGTGGGTGTCTAACTCCCTGCCCGCCCTGCACACCGCTTCCAGACCCTCTGGACATTCTGCCCAGGGCAGCTGAGAAGGCAGGAATCTGCTCAAGACAGTGCTTAGATGGGGCAGAGACAGCCCAGAACTGATGGGCAGGAAATGTCCCTCCTACTCTGACCCCTGCCTTTATATGCCCTGGGACCACAGGCAAATCACGTCCCTCTCCCTCCCACCCGCCAATCGATGAGGTACACACACCTCCTCCCTAAAATTCCGTGATTTCTCAGAGAGGAAAGAGCATCTTCAGTGGGTGATCTAAAGAGTTAATTGCCTGGCAGATCTAATTTTTAAAGGCACCTTCTCCTCTTTTCACAAAGAAGAGAAAGTCCATCCAGCAGATAAAAACCACCATCACTGTCCACGTCACCAGGAATCCCCCAACCTTGGGTTTCATAAGGGGCCAGGTGTCTGGTAACAAAGATGCCATTTCCAAGTCAAATGAGGAACGTTCTATGACCCTTCAAGTGACCACCACCAATATTCCGAGGGGCTGACTGGGAAACCAGATTGGGGTGGCAACACTCAAGTTCTGAGGGCTGCCCTTGCCCTCAGGTAAGCTGGCAGAAAAACGAGACACAGAAGTGATTATTCAGTGCCAGCAAAGGATCATCCAACCATGTCTGTATTTTAAACTGACTGGCTGCTCCGTCTGGTCTCGTGTTCGTGGAATGCAGTTTCAAGAATTCCCCAATCTACTCCTCGAAGGCTCTGCCCCGGCGTGCCTCCGGGGGCTGGAAGCCCAGGCTCCCATATTTTCTGGATCAGCTGGACCACAGCCTGGAGTATCTGAAATCAGGGCCGCTTGGGGAAATCCCAGACGCATGGTGACTCCCCTTGGAGAGACCGCGCACCTGGTCAGCACTCCTGGTTCTAGAACGTGGGCGCAGCCAAAGGCCAACAGCGACAGTGCCCCGCTGTGAGCCCGGCACAGGGGGGGCCGTCCCGGAGCTCCCGCGGCTCAGAAGGTGAAGGCATACACCACCCCCACCACGACAATGTTCCCCAGCGTCGCTATGATGGCGATCCACAGCAAGACGGCATCGTTGGACGACCTTGGCGGCTCCTCGGCCTGACCTTGGCCGTTGGAGGCCGCGTGCACGTTGGTGGAGGAGTTAAAGAGGGAGTACTCGGTGCTGAAGTCCTCGTTGGGCGAGTCCATGAAGGCGCCTCCCATCATGGGCAGCTGAGAAGAAGGAGAGAGAGAATTAACCAGAGCACTCGGGAGCTGGGAGGCTGCCCGCAGAGGGGCAGCTGCCTGGTCAAGCAGGCCCCTCGAAGATACAGCACCAAACTGGGCTTTGCTTTGGGTCTTTTAAATAAATGACAGTGCATATTTTTATCTAGAAAATTAGCATTCACAGCAACCTTTTGAGGCAGACACTCACACCCACTTTGCAGATGAAGAGGTTAAGGCCCCGAGCAGCTCAGCAGACTATCTCAAGGCTAGTTGGCAACTCACTGGGACTTACAGACCCTCCCTCTCTAAATGCCAGGCCCTCCATGACAGCACACATCGTCAAATGTCTTTATTCTTCTAATTGTAAAAGTAATATCGGCTCAGCACAGAACATTAAGAAAATACAAAAGAGGAGGAAAAGAAAGAGAATCATAATCTCACGACTTTGGGATAATCACTGTTCACATCTTCCTTTCTAATCTTTTTCTGTGTGTGTGTGAGAGAGAGAGAGAGAGAGAGAGAGAGAGAAGTTTTAAACATGTGGCTTTATATTCCTGTATTTAAAAGCCTATCAAGGGCTTCCCTGGTGGCGCAGTGGTTGGGGGTCCGCCTGCCAATGCAGGGGGCACGGGTTCGTGCCCCGGTCCGGGAGGATCGCCCGTGAGCCGTGGCCGCTGGGCCTGCGCGTCTGGAGCCTGTGCTCCGCAGTGGGAGAGGCTGCAGTAGTGAGAGGCCCGCATACCGCAAAAAAAAGCTTATCAAGATACAGTTTCACAGTTGTATAATATTCTATCATAAACACAAGCCATAATTTAACCGTTCCTCTAGAACTGGAGATTTAGGAATGTTGATGCTTTCCTATTATAAACAATGTACTGGTAAGCATCCTTGTACATACATTTGGGTACGCATACATGCTTGCACGTGCATTTTTTTTTAATATCAGTTGCTTACCTTTATAGTTTTTATTATTTTATTTTTGGCTGTGTTGGGTCTTCGTTGCTGCACGCGGGCTTTCTCTGGTTGTGGCGAGCGGGGGCTACTCTTCTTTGCGGTGTGCGGGCTTCACATTGTGGTGGCTTCTCTTGTTGTGGAGCATGGGCTCTAGGCGCGCGGGCTTCAGTAGTTGTGGCACATGGGCTCAGCCATTGTGGCGCACGGGCTTAGTTGCTCCATGGGATGTGGGATCTTCCTGGACCAGGGGTCGAACCCATGTCTCCCGCATTGGCAGGCGGATTCTTAACCACTGCGCCACCAGGGAAGCCCTGCATGTGCATTTTTATTTATTAGGCAGTCCCAGATACAGAGCTTCCCAGTCAGCGGGTATGATGCTTCAGAGCTTCTAATTCACAAGGACAAACTCTCCAGAAGACTGACTAATTCCCAAGGCCTTGTTTGCTGTACAAGAAGCGGCTGGATTGCACTCCAGGGATCAGGGCTTCCTCTTTGCGTTTGTAAAGCCCCTTATTCCTGAGACTCAGATGCGCGGGTAGGGGTGAGTTGGGCTGCTCAAAGGGAGGGCCTGGACCTGGATACAGTCCAGAAGACCAATGTCCAGGCCATCCGGGCCCTTCCAGACCCGTCCAGAGGCTGACACGACTTAAGCCCCAGGGTTGGCTCTGTCAAGTGTGAGGCCCACAATAAACGTGTTTTTTTAATGGTACATGAACGAATGAGCACTGAACAGTTAAGCCTTCCTTCGATGCACGTGTATTGAGCTACTACTGCTACTACCAGCATGGAGGCCCAGCTACGGTCATGGAATGTGCTAGAGATTTTAAAATAGTCTTATTTAATCATTCAACTATCCTGCTGGACCATATCACGGTACCCCCATTTCAGATGGGTAAGCAAAGGTCAAGGCCACTGTACTCGTCTGTGCTGGGGTCAGGGCTGAGTCGGGTGTGTCCGACTGTGGAGCCAGGGTGCTTCCCGTTCTGCCCACAGCCTCTCCGACTCCCAGGTCAGACTCAGTACTGGGCCCCGGAGATGTACCAGTCACTACCCCCAGGGGCCACGCTCCAGCCGGGCACATGTGCACTGCCCTGGGATGGTGGGAGCAGAGCGGGGTCCGCCTCACGCAGCCGCCCATCTGACCTGTATTAGGGATGATTAATTAGGGGCCTCAGTCCTAGACTGTGCAGACAGTGGTGAGCCAGACAGGTGAGGGCCACGCTCCAGGTAGGGATGAGAGCAAGGAAGGAGAAGGAGGGAGAAAGAGGGGAGGGAGGGAAGGAAGGAGTGAAAAAGAAAGAATATCTGAAAGGAACACGAACCATCAGAGAATTCACACAGAGAGGCTACTTCCAGGCAGCTCCACATGTGGCCTGCTCTGAATCTCAATGGCCTCTTTTTAAAGGATGCCCATGACTGTGTCAATGGGTGCTTCCGAGCACCTGCTTGGGCTGAGAAGAGCAGCCTTTGACAGACTCGTGCTGAGAGGAGCTTGGCATTTCCTCAGTAACACAGCTTGGTCCTATAGTTCGGTGGGGACCTGGCAGTTGTCAATCTGGGGCTGTAATAACAGGAAGAGGCCAACAGGGGGTGCTGAGGGTAGGCCACATGCAGATCCTCGATGGGGCCGCTGGTTACAGGGATGAGCTCACTTTGAGAGACTTCATCCAGGGCTGCATTTATATATGCGTCCTTCTTATATGTGTATTATAGTAAACAGTATATTAACATATTTAGTATATCTTAAAGAGATATGATGACAAACACAGATGAGAATGACAATTAACATATATTCTATTAAAAATACAATTGAAAGTTTAAATAGGAGAACTGTGACCTCCTTTTGTCCCCCAGCTGGTGATGCAGATGAGATGGGTTACAGCTGAATCAGGCACATCCGTCCTAAGGGGGCAGCAGAGGCAGCGATGCTCTGGCCTGCAGGGAGGGGCCCGAGCTTTCCCATTAAACCTACTCATCTTCGAATCCCAGCCAATGGTCCTGTCCACTATAGCCTTCCCTCCCAAGTACCCCCAAGACCACATCCTTCCCTTGGGGGCACCCACCCCAAGATGCAGTTCCCATCTGCGTCCCCCAGTGGCCGGGAAGCTCTGAGGGGGGAGCAGATGAGTTGATTCTCATCGTGGAACTCCTAGAGCCTTGCCCAGGTCGGGAGCACAGTCGTGCCTGAGAAATCCCTGTTGAGTGACGGATGAATGACACCCACCCTCAACTTGGACCAACAACATTGTTGGCTGATTCTGCCTCTCCGGCAGCCCCCCACTGACCCCACCCCTACCTGGCGGGTACCCTTTCCTCCTGCTGCCCTGAGATGGTACCACGCTTCTCTCGGGGAAATCGGCAGAATCTTCATCTGACCCACCCATGGCGAAAGCATCACTCAGGTGAGCTCATGGAGACTATATGCCAGAGAGTGGGGATCAGGCCAGACAGGAAGCTGCCCTTCTCCCTCCCCTGCGGGTTCCACAGCCCCCTCCCCTGGCGCCCCTGCTGCACTCTCCCTGCCCGGAATTAATCCCATGCCCGTTGTCCTCTGCCCAGCGACCCGCCTCAGCCTCTCCTCCTTCCCCAAGGGCACTGGGTTTTTGGACAGATGCCCCCGCCTCGACTCCGCTCTCCATCCTGTTGAGATCTCTGGACGTAAGCCTGCGCATCTTCCCTCTCCTCTCTTCGGGACATGTGTGGGCTCGATGAGCATTTTCATCCAATTCACTGGGGGGAGAAAAAGGGGGCACTGGATGGAGCCTTTGGTGGGGGGAGGAGAGAGCAGCCCCCAGGCTGACACAGCCCTGCTGCCTACCTGCGCAGGGGCAGCTGCCCTTCCCTTGCGCCCCCCTCCTGTTCTCTGCTTCCCTGTGGGTAGGTAACGCCCTGTGTTAATTTCCTGTAGCTGCTATAATAAATCGCCACGAACTCAGTGGCTTCAAATGACACACATTTGTTATCTTACCGCTCTGGAGCTCAGACGTCTGACTGCGCTCATTATAGTGGGCTCCCTTGGATCGTCTCCCATCCCAAGATCCTACACCTTCATCACGTCTGCAAGGTCTCTGGCCACATAAGGTGACAACCGCAGGCTCGGTTAACTGGAAGTAGGTCTCCCACCACACAGGGAACTCTTGAAGGCAAAGCCATGGCCCACTCATCTCATGCTCCCTCAACCCCATTTGTAACACAGAAAGAGTGACAAGTACAACCGTGTGGAATTAATGAACTTGAAACCAGCAGACAGCCTCCCCCATCGGCTGCACTTCAAACCCCCGCCCTCAGAGCTCCCCGGCGATGAGACAGCTCATTCTCCACGCTGAGCCCCTCTCTGCCCTGCACCTCATTGACGGACAGCTCAGCACTGCCAGAGGTCGCAGCCGGTGGCATCTGATTCTACTGCCTCAGAGTGTGAGGGATGGAGTGGGTTCTACTGTCAGAAAGACTCGGGGAGTGAATCCTGCTTCATTACAGATAGTACAGCCAAGCGAATTTAACCAACCTGCTTCCGTTTCCTTCCCTGTAAGTAATGAAGATGATACAGTGGAACCAGCAGGATTCTCGCAAGGAGGGAATCAGATCATATATGATAAATAAAACGTGGCACCAGTCGCTCAGTCATTCCTAATGTTCTTTCCTCTTGTTCGTGTAGTAATTCAAAACCGAGAGACGTGCATCTCTTATCCAATTGCTTAAGCTAAAGTGACGGAATCGGAACCTGCCATTTCCAGTTGTGTGCTTTTGTGCAATCAGTCAGATACTCATCTGCATACAGGCGGCCCTCCACTCCCACCAAGTTCTGCTGAGTTCAGCCAGCACTGTCGCTCAATCCAACTCCTCAGCTGTGTTGGTTTTGATGTTTTTTCCTTTGTAAAACAGATTCTACTTCAAAGTGCCGGGTTACACATGAAAATAACTTTACACAGCAAAATCCCACGAATAGAAAACCAAAAAAGGTCAGCCTCAATTCTGCCATTTGGAAGTTGGGAAGATTTGATCAGAAACTGACTCATGGTAAGAACGAAGGAATGATGGCTGAAGTCACTTCA